GCCCTGTTGATTTCCTTTTGATTTTTTCATGCATCCGAATCAGCTTTCAAAAGCTTAACCTTGATGATCAAAGCAATTTTTGTTTTTTACTTATTTGAATATTGTTCCATATTTGTAGCTTTTGGAAGACAAAGCACTAAATAAACAAGTCAGAGTTTTGCCAATTTCTAATGTGATGAACAGTTACAGGCAAATTGGAAATTAAGCTAAAAATAAATTTCAACAAAAAAGTTCAAAGGAACAAAAATTTTCCCGATATGTTTTTGTTGCTTACACATTACTGTGCTTTTCACATACACGCGAACTCTAAAGCTCAAAAGCCGCCTTCACAGTCGCGTTTTTTGCTGCTGTCAATCATAATTACGATCACAAGCAAGGAACCTTGAAACACAGAAACACACGAAACGGATCGAAATCCACCAATCACAGATCACAAACCATGACCTTTTGAACCCTTTTAAGTAAAGTTCTGTTTCCTAACAGGTCTGCAAAGATATTTGATGAGAGCGAAAAAGGCAAATGTCAGTTGGCTTTTGAACTTCAGAGTTCGCATGTTTTTGAAAAGCGCAGTAAAGTAACATCCCTAAAAAATTTGAGGTCAATCAAACAAATTCTCTACAACATTTGTTGATATATTTACAAAATAACAATGCTGAACTGTGTGTCAACATAAACCTCTAAACTAAAAATTAATGACTGTTACAAAAACAGTTTGCACGTAACGTTTACCTTCAGATGTGAGCTAATAAAAGCCGTACTGCTTTGTGTAAATGCCAAGTCACGAAACATCTCTTTGGCAATTTGCCCAAACCAGAAAACCACCTCACTTCTGGTGTAAATGTTATATCCATTGTTTTTTACTGACCTGTGAAAATAGTGATAAAAATATATAGGGGAAAATGACACAGTTAGGCTGCCGCACCTGAAAACAAGGTTGATCAATGGTTTACTAGGCAAAATACCATAGATGTATATTGCTCCTGTCTTCAAAATATGGTAAGCATGAGCTGGTTACAGGGCATTGGAGCCAGTCAGAAATAGTGAGTGGTGAAAGAAATATGAAATATGATGTACACATTAAAATAACTTACTCTTCTTTCAACTGGTCCTGCCAATAACATCCCCAAAATCCTCCCAGTTTAAGCTGCACATACAAAAACAAAATTGTTTAGGTCATTGTGGCATTGGTAGAAGTAAGCTGAAACTGCAACCATCAAAACAAAAGACAAGCATAACAGAGTGAAGCACTACTTATCTATAACCTACCATGATAAAACAGAAAACAAAACTTTATTCTGTGAAAGGTTTGAACCCAGGAGTCATTTCAAAAGTAAACTAAGTTTGATTGTCCCGGTGAATGTAGTCCTGAATAGCACTGTTGTTGTTGACAGTGACTGATGTTTCGACCACCTGTGCGGTAGTCATCTTCAGAGTCAAAGTGAGTTGTATCACGTCAGTTGATGGTGTTATACACTTTATTCATGGTGTATTAAAATAATCTTAGCCATGCAATTAAGTTTCAAAGTCATTTAAACTTTTTTAGGCAGGTCTCTAATCTCTGAGGGAATCTTTTTACAAGGAACATACCCTATGTAGTGGGTAGTCTATCATTTTCAGACTCAGTTCTGGATCTAAGATTGCTTGTGTGTGTTCATTTAAAGTGTTGGTTAAGATTCATGTCAGGTACAATGGGAAAGACTATTTTGGATTTTATACATAATCACATTGCCTTACATCTTATGTACGGGGCATATTACACAGCAAACATGCATCATTATACATTTTAGCACAGAATTCACAAGCACTCTTTCTTTAGTTTTTAATGTGACCGATCAATACAAGTTGTTCTTACCTTGCCTGGTTTTACCACAAAAATGGACATAGTGTTAATTCTCAAGTGGATAAGATTTTTACTGTCAAGATATTCCAAGGCAGAAGCAAGCTGTGTTACCATCTGAATCAGACTGAAAACTGAAAGTTTTGGCATAGCTTCTAGAATGTTCCCACACTCAGCATAATCCAACACCTAGACGAAAATCAAATCAAATCCAATCCTGACACTAGAACTAAGTAATATTTCAGATCAATGCACATAAGGCAAATGTAAGGAAGTGTATGGGTCGCTTTCGAGGCTTCTCTTTGCTTTATTTTGAAGTTTAAACCCTTCAAAATGTGACAGCCAGAGTCTCTTTTTATCTTATTGCAAGTCTTGCTCCGCGTGCGAACAGTCATTCCTTACTGGAAAGAAATGTCCTGGGGAATGATCACCACGAAAAAAAATTTAAATATATATATTATATTGCCTAGGACAGTTAGAAAGGCTTTAAACGCAATATCAGACAAAAACAAAACTTAAATTCAATTCACTTTGTTAGTTTAAGAACCAGAATTGGGAAATGTACTGCTTGTTAACAGCATTAGAAGACATTTAGAACGACAATAATTTTTGGAATTTCCAGTTTGGTCAAATTAGTCACGTTATACTGTCACACTATATTTTGGGTTGCAGAGGGATTGGGGGAGGGGTGCATGAAAATATCGCTTATTGTTTCCTGCTTAGAATGGCTAACTTGCTTATTTTTATATTCATGATGGTGGAATTTGAAAAGTTACCATACAGCCCCGACTTAAAAATGGTACCCATTTGTCTTGTTAAATATGAAAGTCTTCAAAAGGCTACAATGTTCAAATGAGTTTATATTTAACTTTCACATGAGATGCTAAGTCACACAATGGTCAGCGACAAGGTTATGTGGTGGTTTGAGTGTGTACAGCCCCCCAAAAAATGGCCCTTAGCAGCCCAGTTAAAATTCAATTCTTGTTTTATGTAATTTCTGGGAAATGACACAAAAACCAAGCAGAAAATGCTTGCAACAATAAATGTTTCTGTACTAAAGGGCAAACTTTTTAAGGGTGGCATGTTGTATCGGCATATTAAGGCACGTGAAGAGAACAAAATTTCAAGGTTGGTCTTGAACTAAAAACTGAAGGTAACAACTTGACATTTAGCTTTGAAATGCATTCTCTCCTACCTGTTTGTATCTCTTACAATAAAATCTCCATGCCTTTTGCTGGGCATTCACCAGGCTTGCCAGCTTCATTTTGGTGGATTAAATTTCTAGGGAAACCCCAAGGATCTTGAAATACAAGTGGGTAGTGGAACATTAAGATTTTTGCATTAAATTCACTGCCAAAATTACATTAATTTTTGTGCTTGAATGTATACTACAGAGAAATAAAAATGCTCTAAAATGCACTCACTAGAGCCACTGAATCTGTGTAGAGCCCCGGTAGAATAACTCCGTGGAGATTAAGGATGCTCTCATGTGTCAATGATGCAGAGATTTCAGCCTCATGAAGAAAATGATGTCGCTGACCCTGTGATCGATCGTATCTTAAACATACTCGCATCTGTAAAAATATGCAGCATAGCTCAACGTTACATATTATTCAAGGACTATAATAATATTTAAGGAGCACCAAATTTCTGAGTGAGCCAAAATAAAGGATATTAAGCTTGTGGAAATTAATGTTCCCCGTAATTAAGGGTTTAGGAATTAACGTTAACAAAAATTAAGGAAACTTAAACTGACAAAATTTTTGAACTCTGCATTAATTTCATGCAGCATTACTACGTATTACTTTCCTATAAAAAGGAATATGCTTAGTACTAGGTAATGAAATATTGTTTGAGACAATAAAATACCCAAAATTAATGTGAAGTTTATGACATGCCTTGTGTTTTTACGTAGATTAAGTGAAAGCTTGGTTGTTGATTCATAAGTTAAACGTATAGAAGAGGTCTCAAAACTGGATCAAGTTGTTTCATTTCAATATATCACACCCTGAGTAATGTTTAAGCAGTAGAAACCTTTTCCAGTGGTAACATAGCCTGAGATAGACAATAAAAGGGCTAATCTAAAAAATATTCATACCATACCACAGATGGCTTCCATATTTTAACCCCCCTTGCCTTCAGAATTTCCAAAATGAGCTATCCTCCATGCCCTGCAAATTCCATAATCGATAACCCCCCTCCCGCTTGGACCTTCCATTTTCCTTTTTTTGTTAAACCCTTTGGAATTACTGGCAGGGTTCACAAAATAATCCCCAATTTGGCTTACTGACTCTACATCTGTTCAGCACAGCTGGTTATAATGGGAGTTAATATGACTACAGAAATTCTGGAATAAAAATTAACAAATGGAAGTTTTCTTGTTATCACTGTTTAATAGAAGCAACCTACATTAGCCTTACAATGCACCAGCCTGGTACAGAACATTATCCGCTATTTACACTGGGCTTGATTTGCTTTCTGCGACCAGGGGGGGGGGGGGGGGGGGGGGGGGGGGGGGGGGGGGGGGGGGGGGNTTTAATGATAGCAGTGGTATGAAGATGATGTGAATTGCAGAAATACAAATTTTAAACGAAGATATGATCAGCGCAGTGGTCATTGCAATTTAAGCAATTGCAAATAACCCCCTCCCCAAACAAAAAAAAAAATTCAGGACTTCAACACAATTTGAACCCATGGCCCCCACCTGCATTAGTGCTACAGTGCTCCACCAGGAAACAAAAAAATAGCTCATATGTCAGTGGTCTTAGCATATGTATTTTTGTATCTTTTCTGTTAGTATGTTTTTTAAAGGGTGATGGGCCAATAAGGTTGGAGGTACCATGGACAATTGATGCTAAGGAACCAATGAGATTTTGGCATCTAAACATGACATAGCTAAAGGTCAAACAAGGGTACTTTGAGATCACCATCTTGATCCAAGGGTGGTTGTGGAGTGAGCTCCATGGACATAATGAGCTTAATGAACCAGGTATCGAACTCAGTTGCCAAGATAACTAATATTATCTGACAAAATAATAGAGATTGTTTCATTGAGTGGAATAACATGAGATGAGCAGAAGCTAGTAGAGCCGTTTTGTGATCACTGTCTGGCTATAAAGAGCTAAAACGTAACTAACCACAATGCTGTTTATAGGTTGTACACTTTGTGGCCTTTGCCTGGAGCTTGATTTATGACCCATATTTTGTCCCTTTTCTTCTACAAATGAACACAAAAACATACCTCAGCAATTGATGCTTGTCTTGTATTCTGCTTCTGCATCCAAAATTGTCAGCAGTGTTGCCAGTTTGTGCTTTATTGGTGAGTTGATTAAGTCCAGATAATAAATGTTTTAAGGAGTACACTCTTGTCTGTCTCCTGTAGAAATTCAAGATCCAACCCCCCCCATGCCTTCCAGATTCCAATCGTAAGTATGCCCCCATGCCTTTGGATTTCTAGTTCAAAGACCTCCCATCCCCCCCCTCCCACTCCCTTACTCCTCGAATTCCAAAAAGCTCTCTGTGGTATGGTATGGATATTTTCTGGAATTGCCCAATACATGAAAATTACATACAATCATGCATGTCTACATGCTCTCATGCAAACACACCTCTCAGCCAATCAGAGTGCTATACATCTAACTACTGACAACACTTTCAGTTGATTTATGATTATGCACCTTAGCTTATTTACCTGTTAAATCCTCACCTTCTCTCCATTGGGTTTTGTCCAAATAGCTTCAAAAACAGATCCAGAAATTGGACCTATGGCTGTTTTCTTCACAACTTTTACGTCCTCCACGGAAATAAATGCCACTCCAGAAGACTGTAACCGTGCCTTGTATGGTACTTTTCCATGTTTCTACAAGACATTTATGAACAATGCCTTTTTTTGTTTTTTGCAGAAATTCAAAGCCAAACAAAAAAAGCCTAAAACAGCAAGTCAAATACTAAGCTGGCTTTTGCTCCCACTGTAAATTATTATTATTATTATTATTCATTATTATTATTATGTAATTTTGATAAATAAAAAGAAGCATTCCAGTACAACTAACTGTAAAAGACTGAATGAAAAGATCATACACACTGTACTTACCAATGCCAAAGCAACAAAATTTGTTTTTTCTGCTTTTTGTGGCAAAGTCCTTAGCTGATCCTTTGCAAAGTTTGGTAGAAGTCGAAATCTTTTCAGTGCCTCTTCATCAAGCTTCTGCCAATCAGCAATTGTTCGAACTTGCAAGTCATAACACAAGATATTGAAACAGTCTTTGAGGTTGTTCTCCACGAGAAGAAGAAAGATCTTGTCAAGTTCAGTAAGATCAACTTGAAGATGTGAAGCTGAAGTCTGCAAAGGAGATATCAAAATAACTTATTTAAATCGAAGACTGTCTGCTATGCTTTTCACAAAAAAAGTTTAAGAAACTGAGATTCTCAGTGATGATTAATACTACTAGTAATACTACTAATACTAGTGTCCAGATCTTAGTAAGGGATTTTGAAATCCATGCAGAAAGTTGGGTGTACAAAATAATGCAGTTTTATTAATAACTTTAATATTATTAATAACTTTGTCTATCTATAATTTTTCAATTTTTAAAATTATCACAAATTGTTGTTTCCTCAAGCTTTATTGGCAATTGTAATATTATTGTAATTTATTTACCCACGAAGCACTTCAGAGATCTTAAGAACTAGTTGAAATGTGTCTGTGCATTCTGGATTGAACTGGAATTTGGAAGTGTTGGTTTTTATGGATAGGGAAAAACCGGATTCCCTGGAGAAGAACCTCTCGAGGCAAAAGAGACAGAACCAACAACAAACTCAAACCATATATGGGATCAATGCCAGGATTCAAATCCGGGCCACACTAGTGGGAGGCTAGTGCTCTCACCACTGCGCCACCCTTGCCCCCCTTACTAGTACTACCTTAACATTTCATCGAGACCCTCAGCAATCTTTAGTGGGGGGGGGGGGGGGGGGGGG